TAATTGAACTAAATTGCATTAAAATAATATCTTAATAACATGTTGCCCAATCCATCTTTTTTTCTTAAGAACCTAGTTTTGAATTTGTTGGGTCACTATGTTCTACTTTGATTACTCATAGTTGTGCCTATGTAACATTTAATGGTTGGATCAGGAAGTACAAAGTACAAAGTACAAATTGGTTGATACCAATTTTAGAAAACAGAAAGGATACCAAAGAAAATGGAAGGTGTATTTGTAAGAAAATTACTTAAAATGACAAGAAAGAAGTCATCTTTTCTTTCTTTAAATACTTACTCTTTGGATTCTAGCAGCATTAATATACCTTTGTTAGTGAACAGATTTAATGCAGTTCAAAAATAGAAACTGATACCAATGTAAGGTTTTGTAATTCTGGTTTATGGAAAGAATCACTTTTTTTAACGTTGAAAATCCTAATCCTGCCATTAATGAAAATGGATAAAATAACTGTATTTTGGCTGGAAATGCACACCATGAGGCTGGATCATGAGAAAATAAACCTGTATTTGATTATAATATTTCACTACTGTCTATTAAACAGAGTGCTAAATGATAAGTGTGAGAAACTAATGTCTGGACTAGCCCATAAAAGAATTGTTCCTCTTCAGCTGTAAAATATTACAGTGGAATCTAGTAATTAAGTGAAGGGTATGATGAAAGACTTAAGCAGTCATGATGTGTACTCTGCAAGGTAGAGCAATTCTAGCATTGTTATACTGACTTCCTCAGGATGAGTCAGAAACCAGGTATGTGTAGCTGGATGCATGAATTGTTGTTAATGGTTTTACACTTTAGTCATCTTCCACATGGGTGGTAAATTCAAGAGGTATACAGTTTCAGTCCTTTGAATCAGATAACGTTGGATTTCATTTAAAAAATTGGTATTTTTTAAAAAATAAATTTTATATCTAGTATATTTAAAATTGAGATGTTAAAGAATGTAACCAGATTTGATCAAGTAAAATTTAACCTAAACATTTTTAAGGTGTTGATTGAATAATATCCAAGACTAAGTTAATTTAATTTATTTTCCATTAAAATCAAACTTAATATGTGTGGGTGTTTTTCTTTCCAATTTTATAATTTATATAATTAAATTGTAAACCTTTTTATGGTTCTGTAAATACTTATAAACAACCATAATAAGGTCATTTTTAAATATTTAACAAAACCTACACAATGTTCAATAGCTTATTTCAGGGTAAATAGCCAAAGGTTTGCATCTTTTAAGTAAATCCAAATTATGTTTAGTTTATTACCATACAAACTATCTGAAAACAAAGCCTAACTTTAGTACAAACAAATTCTACTTTTACATACATTCTACAATTGAAAAATAAATATCCCACAAACACAAAGGCCATTGGAAATAATCACAGTTTTCTGAGATAAAATACAGAGCAGTGTTTCATGCATTGTTAAATTATGAATTATGGTTTTAAAATTATAGTATTTTGCTTCATATAACATGTTAATCTACAACTTCATTAAACCTATAATGTAATTTTCAAATTTTTCTGGATGTTACGATGTATTTTTTTTAGTACTCTTGAACCTTTTTGTAACCACATATGGTAAAATAGTCTTTCTTTTTTGTGGTAGTTCCTATTGTGTATGATTTGTTGTTGTGATTTGTTCTTCTTGGCAATCATTGACAGACTATCTATAAACCATCTGTAGAACCTTTTATAACAATTCTCTCTCAATTGCAGCTTGGTGTAAATTGTATTGTAGACATAGTTCTCCCCCATTGTTCTACTGTTATAACTTCTTTGTTTAATTTTATTAAACAATTTTTAATTTGTTCTATCTCCATGTCATATCTGAGTAACAATTTGCAAATGCCTCCTAATAAATGATTCTGTTTCACATCCTGTCATGTTCCTCGGCTGTTTCTCTCTTTTGTTTTCCAGTTATTTTCAAGTAAACCATGGAAGATTCTTTCATTAAGTAATTATTTTTGTGTTTTTAGTCCATTTCTTGATTCCAGGTATATCATGTTTGAAAACTGAATTCAGATTTCTTGCTTATTGTAATTGCTTCTAAAATAAAAGATATTTTATTTGTCTGTGATGCTATGATAAGTGAAAACCATTCAATAATCGGGCAACCAAACTTGGGTTCTGGATTACCACCAGTGTCTGCCTATATTCTGCAGTCTTGGTATCGTATCATAATTATTGGATTTCTTATCAGGCTCTGGTCTTGGAATAATCAATTTAACCTTCAAAGAGTTATTGTCTTTACTATCCAAATACAGGAATATATATATATAAGAATGCAATGGAAGAGAATAAAATCCTACAGTTTAACATACTTATCTGTGAATAATTTTCACTGAATACAGTTAATTTTTAATTCTGAAGAAATTAGTCTGTATTGGAATGCTAAAAACAATTTTGCTTCAGTGGACTATGACTGAAATTGATTCACTTCAGAGTCAAAATTATTCAACATAATGCAAGTATAGATTTGGCTCAAAGTCCCTGAATAATTGAAAAAACAGAGAAATCAGCCTAAAGTTTATGATGATATAAATATATGAATGTTGTAACCTTTTAGTGTTATGTGAATAATGCATTTGTCAAAGAGAGCTTCACCTTAATTTTTGAAGTAAACTTATTCATGCTTGAAATTTGGACTGGAGACTGTCCTAACCTGCTAGAAGAAAACCTATAATTTTTATTCAATTTAGTTATGATTTGTCCTTAGCTTGCACAATTTTATATTATTCTGTTGCAACAACTTGGCTTCTAGGTTAGATAGCTATTTTCTCTGAAGTCTCATATATTTCTGCAGAATTTATTAACAACTGCGGAATAATATAGCATACCTATTATGTGCAAACTAAGCCTTAAAGGTTAATATATCTACAGTTATTAAAATAGCATGTAATTATATGTTTATATGTTAAATAAACAAGCAAACAAATAAATAAATAAGTACTGGAGCAACCTGTGCCACCTGCTGCACTCCAGATTGGCCAAATCCATTCTTACATAACTTAATTAATGCCTTCTAGGTTTCTTTTATCTTTCCTGACATTTAATTTTTTTTCTGGATTATTTTTTAATTAAAATCAATGAATAAAATAAAAGGCAGCATCCTGCAAAGCAAAATAAAAATCTTAGTCATCATATTTATTTTCAGGAATACCATTAAACATTTCTACTATTTAGATTTAGACATAGAACATGAAAATTATTGATGCTGTCAGCTCTTATTTTTTTAAAAAATGCCTATCCATAGCAAAAGAGCACAAACACAGCCATAGAAAGATCAGCTAGAATAGTAGAGGGTATTTGGTAAGCTAGAAGAAGCAAGAGAAAAGTTTGCCTTCTGGTAAATTACAACACCTGGCCATATCTATAGTGTGGTAACCATTTTAGAAATTGGAAGTAACTCTAGAAATCATTTAGTATAGGTGCCAGTTTGCCTTCTCCAAAATTTTAAATGTGTTCAGTAGCATGTGAAACTTGATGACATAACTCTATAATTCAAGAAATGGCTGAAAATTCAGGGAGTCATAGTTTTCCCAATTGGACAGCATTAGATCGAAGGATCCAACCTAGTAGTCACTAGGGTTTGGATTTTCCCAGTTTTTGTACAATATTATAAAAGTGTCGTTTGTAAAATATGAACCTCTATGCAAAATGTTCACCTCTGTTTCATGACAAGCATTGCAACTTTATTTTTTTCCAACCAAAGTTTAATATGAGCCAGAAAGGAAACATACTATATTGTATCATACCTACTTACCCACCAACTTTTCTAACCTCTTCTATATTTTCTGATGTGTGGAAACTGTTCCATGCTTCCCAGCTAATAGAGACACTGAAAATTTAACTTTGTCATAAATTCTGTGGGAAGTTTTGTCTATAAGAAGTACAATATGATCCAAAGTGGACTTAAAATCAGGTAATGAAAGTAATAAAGTGATTTTCTAACTTGATAGAAAATTATCCAATCTAATTATGAATTGAATTTAAAGTTGGATGCTAACCCATCATCATTTATATATCAATCAATATGTATGTAATTAAACCATAATTCATTAATGTTCATCCTATAGTGATGCTTTAAAAGAGGCGCAGATTAAAACAATGCTCTTTTTTGGGTTGGGGGGGGCATAGGTCTGTGGAATGAAGCAATTCTGTTTTTAGTGTAGGAGCACTAGCCTTCCTTACTGTTTATTTGCAGTCATATTTAGACTATGCTTGAAGAATTGGAAATCACTAGTGAGGAAATTGCCACCAGCAAAAGAATAGTATCTCTTCTTCTTTTATGGTTATGATTTTGCTAGCATGGCATCTTTCTGTATAATTGATCATTTTTAACAGCAATATTATACATATTGACTTGAATGTCAACATCCAATAACTTATTAAGCTTCCATGGGAATTTCTGAATAAATGTTTCTATGATTGAATAAATGTTTCTATGACTGTTGGGGGAGGAATATAAAACTTTTTAGGTTTCATAGCAACAGATCTTGCCTTTATTTCTGAGTGTTTTGTTATTTTTAAGAGATTTCTGTCTGGTTAAAAACCTGTGTTGCTCTCTGAGGTGGGGGGGTGTTCAAATTCAGCTTTGAAAATAATTAAAGAGTTACAACTTTTACCCGGACGGAATTTTTGAACTCCTAAACTGGGATGTTCCATTTACAGTACAGCACTGGGGAAATGATAGTACAAAAAAATGGTTTCTTCCGAGCCAGTCGAGGTATCCCCAAACGTGGAGCCCTTTGTTATCCAATTACAGAAAAAGAAAGTTTTTAACCCTTCGTCTTCCAATTAGGTGGGCACGTCGTAATAAACGGAAGGGGAGAAATACTGCACCATTCAAAGTGTGTTTGAAACGTATTTCGGGACAATTCGGGAAGTAGGGGGCCTTTAAGGTGTCCCGAAGCAGTCTCAGACCTGCAAGCAGCAAGGCAGGAAGAGCCGCTGGGCGCTTCGCCGAATGCATGCCTTACGATGCCTGAAACTTCAAGCGTAGAAAGGTTTCCACCAGGCCCCTCAGAGTGGCGGTGTGGAACTACATTCTTTCTCTGCCAGGGGCTGGCTTGAAAACGAGGAGGAGGAGGAGGAGGAGGGAAAGGCGGCGGCTCTTGGAAGTTTTGTCTGGGCTGTCTCTCTCTTTTGTGTCCATCTTCGTTTGAGTAACAAGACGGAGAACCCCGGACAGGCTCTTTGCTCTAACGAGCGGCTGGACCTAAATGGTGGCGGATCCGAGGACCAGTTCCGTCGTTGTGGCTGCTATGAGGCTGCTTTGTTTCGCGGTCCAGGCTCTTTGCCCCAAGTGATGGGACGCACCGCGATCGCTGCTGCTCCTGCTCCTGCTCGAGCAACGGTTGCAGCGCGTGTTCTTTCCGCCCCGCGCTCGCCCAACTGCACAGCTAGCAACTCTTCGCCAGGAGCGGCCGTCTCCGCGACCCGTTTTCTGAGTGTCCCGTGAAAGATCCTGGAGACCGCCGCCGCGCACTCCGGGCCGCTGGTGACCCGGCTGGCTTTCGGTTCTTCCAACGGAGAGTGTGGAAACAACCGCGAAGCTTTTTGTGTTTCGCTTTCTGTCGGATGGTCCCGCAGCGCTCCGGGGAAGCCCCTTTGGGATAACCTGGAGGAAAAGGAAAACAAAGCTTTGGGCTGCTGAACTCTTTTTTTTCTTCGCCGTTCTGACAATAGAAATTCCAGTTGAGAAGCCGGGACAATTCTCTTCAATCGATTTAGAGATGATTTAGGACACCGCTGCTTTTACATTAAGCTGATTTTGGATTTATGAATCGGATAGTGTTGGAAGCTTTTGGAAAAGTCTTCCCCTTTCCCCTCTCCCATCAGCTTTCCCGTTTGGCATGAGACTATCGACAGGCTCCACCACCTGGAGACAATGTTTGCAGAGTTTGTTCATGTCTGTCTCTTTGGATTGATATGTCTTTCTTCAGGTAATCCCTGATCCCGATATGATTCTTTTTAATATTCCACCGGTTAAATTTCTGCTGCCTGTTTTCAATTCGGAGAAATAAGGCAATATGAAACAATTGATTCGTACTAATATTATAAGTACAACCTGATGAAAGTTTTTGAATCTGGAAACAATGGGTGATTTATGAAAATATTTCATTGTAAACTTCAGATTGTCTAAGAGTGAGCATTTTAAAGTTTTAACTATGTTATATAAACTATGCAACTTCTATTCTTCACCATCTTTTCACTTTTTCCTGATTGAGATAACATCCTATTTACTGGGGTAACTAGCTTTTTTCCTTCTCTTTCCAACTAGATAAGCACATGATCTGGTTTTCACCCATGTTTGGAAATAAAGGCAGGCATTTGGCACCAGAAGAACTGGTTTGGTGCCTTCCCACTGGGCAGCCCAGTTTGGATACTAAATAAGCATCTAAGAGGTTGTTCTAGGCCTATCTTCTTAAGTGCAGAAATCTTCAGGATTTTAGTGCTACTGTCCTATCCTGTGGCTATTCAATCAAATCGTCTATTATAGAATGTATACAGTTTAAAACATGGTACCTTAAGGCACTTTTCTGCCAAGGAATAAAAAGTTGGTGTGCATCTGCAGCATAAACTATTATTATCCCCCCCACCCTTCTCAGCTCCATCTTGCTTATATCAGTTACTCTGATTGGTGAAAGCACAGTTTTATGAATGCAAAAGTTATAATTAAAGCAGGCATAAAAACTTTACAACTCTTTTCCATGCTGCTATGATGTACGTAGCTGTACATTAGATTCAGAGATGTTAAAGGGGAGGGGAAAAAGATGTTGGAAGGAAGACAATTTTGAAACACATCTTTATTGACTGTGTGTTAAATTGCTAAAGGGAGGCAACAGGATTATTGTCATGGATAAAGAAAAGTGACCTCACTATATATTCATATGGATATGTATGTATCTGTGTGTGTATGTATATGTGTTTATACATACATACAAGAATATATACGTGCAAGTTTAATTACGTTAGTTTAGTGCCAGGTAAAAGTTCAGTCCTATAGCAGTTTGATTGTGAGTTACCAGCACTTGAAAGAAGTGGATTTCTAAAGAATTTCTGCTTGGATCAAATCTACCTTTGCAGCATAGGCTGTGAGTGCTCACAGAACCATGTGTACATTAATGTCTGTAAGTATTGTAACTCTGTATGGATGTAAAGCCTATTATTTTGTACCTGTGTCTTCTTTTAAGCAAATTGGAACCTTTGCGGAGATTTACCTTGTTCACATGTTGATATGCAGTTACTTTGAAAGAATATATGAAACGCCCTAGTGTATGAATAATCAGAATATTGCATCTTGAATGTATCTTCTTAGCCAATTTGGTGTAGTGATTAAGGGATCAGGCTAGAAACTTGGAAAGTATGAGTTCTAGTTTGCCTTATATATGAAAGCTGTCTGCGTGACTTTATGGTTGGCCAATCACTCTCTCTCAGCCCAACTCATTTCACAAAGTTGATGTTGTATGGAAATAGGAGAAGGTGAGTATTGTGTATGTTTGCTGCTTTGAGTTATTTATAAAAATAATAAAAGCTGGATTTAAAAATAGTACCTGAATAATAACCATGGATTTCTACCTCTGTCTGGCAGCCTGACAAGTGTTAAATAATTCAGTTGTTATAATCCCATATTTAATCCCAGATTAAATATAAGAACAATCTAGAGAGAAAACGAACCATTTCTCACGTGCACAATAGGAAATAACCCATAGGATAGAGTTACTGTTTTATGGGGCAGCTGGCTGCTGCTCTGCAAAAACAGGACAGGTGACTAGTTGAAACTTTCTTTTCCCTTAAATTATTGAGTAATGTGGTTTAGGGAATTTCCATTATTTAATGGAATGTTTTTAACCGCAAGGTTGAATATAAATCAGTCCCGAACAAAAAGTAGATTGGCTTGGCTCTTTGATTCAAATTATAGTCAAGTCTCATTGTGATCAAGGTTTTTTTTTTTTGCCTTTTTTCAAGTTTGTTTTTATGCGAATTATGAATAAAATATGGTTAAGAATGAAAAGTTTCATTAAAGGTTAAAGGTTATTAATCATTTTTGTTTTGTTTTTTTAAATAATTGATCAGCATTAGAAATTCTTTAGACAACATAGTCTGGTATCAAAGTGGCATAGTTATAAAATTTAAAAAAGCTTTCCATATTTTTAGTCCTTCTTTATAGAAATGTTATGAGATGTTGTTGTGACATTTGTTTTTTCTAATGTGTTTCAAAATATAGATTGATATAGCTAGGTGAATGTATAGATAGATTGGGATTCTAGATAGGATCTATGAACTTTCCAAATTGAAAGATTTATATTTATCCCGTAATTCCCTTACAGTAAATGCAAACATCTAAATGTTGGATAATTTATCATTTTTTAAATTTTTATTTCTGATTTACCTTTGTTATGGATAAAATTAGAGCATACTGAAAACTCTTTGGGTCAGATTGTGATGTAATTTTAACCCACTATGTATTTGCTAAAAATTTATGGAAAAAAAACTTGTAGGCAGTAATAGAATTTATTACATTCTAACTGGAACTCAGTGGAATGTATTCCTAGTGAGAATTGCATGCAGATCAGTGAAAGAAGAGGGGACTATTTGTAGAATATCAGGTAAAAGTTCTCTCAGCAAGACCAACTATACGTATATTTTCAAGCAATATATTCATGTATTTTATCATTTACCTCAATTGTAATATTTCTTAGGAGGAAATTGAGTGTCAGGTTTGAACATATAAAATAAAATATTATTTAAAATATTATATAGAGAAATAATAGAAACAAAGCATTTTTAACAGTATTTGTGTCTGTCAGTATCCTTAACAAGAGATCCTGAATTCTTTACAAGCATATTTGTATAACTCTATGAGTAAACTGATAATTTCATCTGAATTATAATTGGTCAAGATGATATACACTGAGGTTTTTAATAATTACATTTTAATCTATAGATTGCATGGGTTCACAAACTTCGCAGTACCAAAACCACTTGATGTAGTTCCATACTTCTGCAATTTTAGTATGAAGCAAACACTAGAGCAAATTTTAACAGTAAAATGCCCCATGTATTGCCCATAAGTGCCTGAGGTACTGATCCTGAGATTGACATCCCTATCTTAATATTATGCTTTATAAAGATTTATATAGAAAAAAATACTACTTAACTATTGTTTTTCAGTTAGGGTAAGGGAGCAAGTTTAAATATTCTTGCTAATTAAAAATCTGTGACTGACATAATTATCCTTGATAATTTTTGTATTGATCCCTTATTACTTTTATCTTTACTGGACTATTTTATTCTATTCTTCTAATCTAAAAAATTCAGTGAAGAGATTTAAAGGTAGTATATAAATTCAAATCTCTGTTAACATTTTTTTTGTTGCTGTAAACCTTTCTTGTCCTTAATTGTCCCAGGTCAAAATTTTATTTTGGCTGTGTTTTGCTAATTACACAACTTTATTATAATAGCAAAGAATGCAAATCAGTAACCATTATTTTAAAATCTTTGCTCAGAACCATGTAAATTAAAGACTTTTTTAAAAAGTTCTCTATATCTATCTGTCTGTCTATATCTATCTATCTATCTATCTATCTATCTATCTATCTATCTATCTTTCCATTTTAACATTATGATAGAAAATATGCATAAAATGTACCTAATTCAGCTATTTTTTATACCAGAAGGAAGTGTCATAAAGAAATACCAATAAGAAACAGACAGCAACCCAAACAAAAATTCTTACTTTAAGATCAGAGGTTTATTGTTTGTAATAATTTGGAACATAAGAAATAAATAGATATAAAAGATATAATAGCAATAATACACTTATATTAATAAGCTATTGCAATGGGGTCCAATGACATACAGTAGGTCCTGCAAGGACTGCCATAAATCAAAGGCCCAGAGCTGATCTCCAACTCTATCCTTTATACTTTTCTTCTAACCACATACATGCTTCACAACTTCACTGTCACTTTCCTTAAACACCTGTGTACGTTACTTTCAGTTCCTCATTTCCAACAATTTCATTGTTCCTGTTTTAAACTTATCTATCCAAGTGCATACTTTGCAAAAATATGTTTTCACAGTTAGTAACGGCTCAGCAGGATTACAAATAGTTCTGGTATATTTTGAAACCATCCTAGCTGAAAACTTTGGTTCATGTCTCTTTCTTCTGGGGCCTGCTTTTATCCATAGGACTTATTGAATCTAATAGATCAATAAGCTATATCTTTGATTCTCACAGAAGGAAAATTGTTATAATGTATCAATTTTTGTAATTCAATCAAATCATGATTCTAATATTATTTTGTCTCCAACACAAGAATAGAAGTTTTTCTGAGTCAATTCATATAAATAAATTGCTATACAGTAGCAGAAACATAAACATACCTAATTAGGTCCTAAATAAATTAGAGGAAACTTTGGTTTTTCCAATGTGTCATTAAGTAACAATGTTAAAATATAAATTGTTTACAATTACAACATTCATTTGCTTCAAAGGGCAAGCGTTTTATGCATGCTGCCTTTTAGTAGTTAAGTAGTCCATAATCATATCTAGATAATTGCAACTTTATGAGTTCAGAATATATTTCCGGATGTATGTGTTTTTCGTGTGTGTGTGAGAGAGGTGGGGGGGGGGGAGAGAGAGCTGCATTTTTCTTTGACTACATTGCTGAGAGGTGCTTACACAATATTTATTGTAACCTTCAATTTTTTTAAATTTACATTAGGAATAAATAGTATGATAACTAAAAGCAACATATCTTTTGACTACCAGTAAGATAACTAAATCACCCTGAATCAACTATGATATAAAAAGTTTAGCTTAATCAAGTGAATATCGCTGCTTGTATAATTTTTCATACTGAGAACATCCTAGTCCATTTATACATCTGTTTTGTCTCTTTTTTCAACTTGTGCAACTTCACTGTGAAACATCATA